GCCCAATAGCGCGCCGGGACTCCACCTCCCAGCATCCTCCGCGCGGCATCGCTTAAAGCCGGAAGTAGCTATGGGGATGAGGGAAGAGGGGGGCGTGGCTTAAGGGCATTTCCGCTTCCGGCGCGCCGGGCACACACACACAGAGCCACGATGCTGATCAAAGTAAAGGTGCGGCACGGCGGTGGGGGGAGGGGGGGGGATATTATGGGATGGCGGGGTCGGGGTGCCGGGACGGGTGGGCGTGGCCTCTTTAAGCCCCTCCCCTCCTTTTTTTTTTGTTGTTGGCGCAGACGCTGACCGGGAAAGAAATCGAGATCGACATCGAACCCACCGACAAAGTAAGGCGGTGTGGGGCGGGGGGGGGAAGGTGTGGGTCCCTCCATCCCATAATAATCCTCGGCGCAACAGGTGGAGCGCATCAAGGAGCGCGTGGAGGAGAAGGAAGGGATCCCGCCCCAGCAGCAGCGCCTCATCTACAGCGGGAAGCAGATGTAAAGGGGAGGGGCTGTGCGGCGGAAGTGGGCGGGGCTGAGGGGCGGAATCGGGGCGGTGATTGGCGTCTTGAGGGTGGGGTGGGCGGGGTTAAAGTGTGTGGGCGTGGTCTGAGCGCGCACCCAAGCGTGGATGGGCGGGGCTTAATGCGGAAGTGGGCGTGGTGTTGGGAGTGGGCGTGGTTTGCAGGTGGGTTGGGCGGGGCTTGGGATTGCCCCCGAGGTATGGGGGAGGGGGGGGGTCTTAAAGGGGCCATGTCCCCATTGGGGAGCGATTGGGAGGTGGGATGGGTGCAGCTGTTTGATGGGGTGCTGTTGAAAAGTCCGTTTGGATTAGAGCAAAATGGAAAGGAAAGGGGGTAGGGAAGGGGAAGGGGGCGTGGCTTGCCTGCGAGGCCCCGCCCCCACGCTTTGGCTCCGCCTCTTCAAGGAACGACGAGAAGACGGCGGCCGACTACAAGATCCAGGGCGGCTCCGTGCTGCACCTGGTGTTAGCCCTGCGAGGGGGCGGGGCCAGGCGGGGCGAGGGGCGGGGCTAACGGCTGGCCCCGCCCTCCGCCCGCGTCGACGACCCCGCCCTTATTGACTCCCCTCCTCCTCCCCTAATCTCCCACCCTCTTCCATGTCCTCCCGTTTGCATGTAGCCCCACGAATTAAAGCGTCTGTGTGATATCACGGGTGCTGTCGTTGATGACGTCACCGGGGAGAGGGATTTGGGGGAGGCTGAGTGGGACACAAACTCATGCGATGGCGTTCTGTGCCGTTGCCCTTTTAATGAGAAATTGGGTCCACCTTTGTGTCATTGCCCCTTTAAGAAGAAACCCGGCGCAGTTTGCATTTGAAGAGCAGCTGTGGGCCCGCGTTTCGCGTCGCCCTTTGAAGTCTATACGCTTTCTTGCCGTTGCCCTTTTAAGAAGGAAGCGCCTCAGCGCGACGTCCGCTTGAGCGAGCCAATCGTGTCTCAGCATTCGCGGGGCTCTCCACTGCACAACTTCCGCTTCCGCCGGAAGCGCCCTCTTTCCAAAATGGCGGCCCCCGAGCTGCACGCGTTGCTGGAGCAGCTCCTGGAACCGGACAACGCCGTTATCCGACAAGTAACGGAAAAACACCGGGCGGGGGGCGGACGGGGGGAGCGCGTTGCCCTGCCGACCTGCCTTCAACCCTCCCCCCCCTCCCTCCTTCCTCCTCTTTAGGCCACCGCCCGCCTCCGTGAGGCGGTCGCCGACCCCCGGACCCCTCAGAGCCTGGCGGAGGTCGTGGTGGGCGCT